TTCCAACGGAATATTTTTGTTGGAATTTCTATTAGAATAATTTCAACGGAAATAATAGCATTGAAATATCAATTGGAATTCTATTGAAATATTTTTCCGGTGAAATTTCATCATTGTAGCGTTACAAACAACTCTCCCTACAAAATTTAATTAGTTAACAAAATTAACATGCATGAATTATTTGGAAATGTGTGTGTGATGTATGGTAGAGAAGAATGGTTGTTGCATGTGTGAGAGAGAAAGATTTGAAAGATGTGATTTTGACATTTTTTTTTATCTTATGTGTTATGTAATAGGAGAGAGGGTCTCATTAAGTTTGAAAGAAATAAATTAGGAAGTTGAATTTAATTTTAGCATGGAAACTTTAAAACATAAAGAAGAGTATCAAATTTCCCTTAGAGCATTTACAATACATTGAATCTATTCGAAAATATTTATTGTACCAAAAAAAAATAAATAAATTTTTAAAATAATATATTCTCCAATGCAAGTCCAAATAGATTGGGTCCTGCTGATGTGACAACAAGAAAAAGAGATTCGGTCTCCCCTTAAGTCTATTTTAGACCCAAGACATAGTCTCTTTGCATTGAAGTGAATTTTGTTAAATTTAAATAGTTTTATCCATGTAATCCAAGAGTTGAATTTATTTACATGTCACATAAACAAAACTAGACTCAATGCATTGCAGATAAGCTGTAGCTTATATAAATGCTTTTTAGACTACACACGGAATCTACTTCCCGAATGGAACTTTCACGCTAGTTCTTGATCCAGCATGAAAGTCGATTTATTACTCTATATCTTAGCCAGCTCTAGAGCTTGCCATTGAATTGTGCCGCATTTAATACACACATGTCACTTCAATTAATGGCAAGTTGTAATATTCAATGAACAGTAGCCGGATGTATATCACTATAACTACACCGGGTAGTTCTCCGAAAAAATTGAACGAAAATCAGACATAAAAGATACAAAAATTGTCTCTCAATAAATACATCATTTAAATGGCGATCCACCCGACCTGAATTGCCAATCGGAGCTCTCATATTATACTTTTCCTTATTTTATCCGGTCCTATCTTACTACAATTACAACTTCAAAATTAATAAATCATTTATGTTCGTTGTCCAAAAATAATGGGCAACGTTAGTCATATTGCATATATGAACAACTATTATAATTTTTTTTTTTTTTTTAAAAAAGTTTGGCCAACTAATTATCAGACCACTTTCTAAACTAACAATAAAATAAAATAAAATAAAAAAGAATGTAATTTTGGCACACAAATATTCAGTCTGACGTTTATAATAACAAATATATGGAAATATTATAATTGAAAATATAATTCATAATTATGAAATGTGGAATTCATACATATTACTATATGTTAGTTTATATTTGTAATATTGATATAATGTAAGAGGGAAATAAAATAATTATTGCAACTAAAAAAAAAAAAAGAAAAAAGAGCAAAACAAAATAAGTTGGGTGAAACGTGTGTTTTTAGGAGAAGTGTGGGGGAAGATCCGGTTTGTTTGAGCAACCGGTTGAGCTTGCATTCGTGGATTAGGAGTTTGAGTTGTATTCGAGCCACTTAGCCTATATTTATCCTACCTGTCCAAAGAGCCTACGTTACAACCCTGAAAGACCTTTTGATTCACTAGTTTCGATTCTGATTAGTTTAGAATACGAGTTAGACAATGGGCAAGCTTATGATTGAACTTGTTATCGACCAATTTGAGTGCACCCATATCTTTATCTGTATAAGAAAGTGAGTGAGGCACACATATACATTCC